TTTTTTTTTTTTTTTTTGGCTAATTTTATCTGGTTCATGGTTCAATTTAAAAATTATTATTCGGATTCAGTTTTGGGTACAGCAAAGTTACGTGGTTTGTTCCTGTTTCTGGTTCACGATTCAGTTCAAATCTGTAGTTCCGACATCGTGTCACTGCTGTGAGCGGAGCCAGATACCGTTGCCCGAGAGAGAGCCTCCAGGAGACTTGAAAAGAGTTTCTCAGCTGCAATCTCATGCTCGTTCACCTCGCTCGGGGCTGCCTCGAACGGGGGCAAACCTAATCCCGATGCCACCCACAGAGGAGGGGCTCACACAACCGTGCTTCTGGTCCGACAGTAAAAATAATATTAATAATAACAATGGTGAGGGCTGCCATTTAAAGAGCACTGGGTAGGGGCGCCTGGGTGGCTCAGTCACTTAAGCGTCCAACTTCGGCTCAGGTCATGATCTCACATTCGTGGGTTCGAGCCCCCACATCGGGCTCTGTGTTGACAGCGCAGAGCCGGGAGCCTGCTTCGGATTCTGTGTCCCCCTCTCTCTCTGCCCCTCCCCCCACCGCTCACGGTCCGTCTCTCTCTCAAAAATAAATAAACATTAAAAAAAATAAAGAGCACTGGGTATCTGCCAGGCTCTGCGCTCTGCTATTTACATGCATCTTTCAAGGCTAAGAAGTAGGTACTATTACTGTCCTCGTTTTACAGATGAGGAAATTGAGACCCGGGAGGGTGAACGACATGTCCAAGATGAAACAGCTAGGAAATGGTCAGGTCAGGATAGGATGTAAGGAAAAGCAGAATTGCCGGGATTGTTAGGCATGTAGATCAGTATATGAGGTTAAGGGCTAAACTTATTCCCATTTTACCTGTGAGGAGTCGGCGGTAAGGAGAGGTTCTGTCACTTGGCCAGGCGCACAGGTATAGAGCATCCAGGTAGCAAGAGTCAGTTAAGTAGGGCTTCTTCCTCCTTCCCTCCCCGTCCTTGTTCCTTTTGAAAAGTCGAGCCACTTAAATATTTGCTAAAGATGAGTAAGATTTGAAATAAGTAGGGTGAAGCCTCACTTTGCCTTGATTAGAGACAAGTCCAGTGGAAATTAATCAAAAGTTTGAATTATAGGCTACGTGAAAAGAAATGCAGTTTTCATCACTTGCAAATACATATAATCACTGGAACCAAGCTGCTAGGACTCTTCAGGGCATCTGCTTTAATGAATAGCGAAGAATGATTTGTACTTAGGACATCAACCGTTGCCCAGAGGGCTCCCAAGCAATTTGCCCTCCGCGGTACATTCAACTCCGCTCCCCTGTGATCTTGCCATCGGTCATCATCTGCTCAGCAAGCCCTTCCATCGGAGATGCCGTAAAGGTACACTGCGATCAGGTCTCCGACACAATTCTCACGAACTCCAAATTGGTGACATCTGAATAAGCCAAGGACATACTGAATCTGGGGGATTTGAAGAGACAAAAAACAACCAAAAAACAAAAATAAAATGCCAACGTGTTTGGGTTGGTTCTGGCTCAGGAGTTCGAGTGAGGAGGCGGGGTCTGTTGGCAAGCACTGATCACTCTCCTCTCTGATTGTTCTGCAGGCCTGATCTTAGTCATTTACTTCTTCTTCTATGCCTCCCTGGCTGCTGTGATTACCCTCTGCATGTACACGCTATTTCTGACCATCAGTCCTTACATGCCGACCTTCACCGAGAGGGTGAAGCCTCCTGGTGAGTGCCAAACGCCCTGTGCTGTCAGAACTTGCTGGACGGAAACCTGCCTCCGCAGCATGTTCAGCCTCAATTAACTTTGGCTCTTCCCGGTAATGACTTAGGGATTCAATTATTAAGAGTAAAAGTAAAATGGTATTTGGCAAATTACGGTCCTTTTTATTTTGATTGCCTGGGGGGGGGG